GGACTGGTTTGGCAAACTCCCATGAACCTTACTCCTGTTTAGTATATAAAATGATATTTTAAAGATAACTTTAACTTCTTCCTACTCCATTCAAGCATGTACTAGGTATAAGCAAACTGATAATCGATTAGCATTTGTGGATATGTGTGAAATTATGTGTGTTGACATATCGACTGTCTTTACATGCTTGAAAGAATCAATCAATCAATCAATCAATAGTAAATGCCCACCATATGTTCCCAGGGCCCAGGACAATGTCTTTAGTTAGTTTGATTTGATGGAAAACACACACTGTACAGGACGCAAGTTAAGAATGCACTGATCCAACAACTTCACTCAGGGTGTACGGATATACATAAACCACAGCAGTGTGCTCTTTATGCCAAATGTAAAAGCTGTACACCACACTGCATAGGGCTCACTTAAATCAGTTTTTGTATTATGAGGCTGCGCTGTGGAGCTAAAAGGTTCTCTCATTGAGAGTGAATGAATTTAACTAATAGCAGAAACACTGAATTTTTATAATGAGACTTACAAAAAGTCATTTAATTTTAATGTTTTTCAGCCACATCATGGCTGATACCTGTTTGTTTACATAGATATATCAGACTGGTGCATCCTGAATTCAAATCCATATCTCAGAGGCAGACTGGTGAGGTTTACTGTGGCCATGACCAATAATAAGCAGGCTAAGAAGAAGAGGCAACCCAAACCAAAAGTGTAAGAAAGAGACAGGGAGGAAAAGCCCAGACATGTCAGAGGTTGATGAAGGAGCAGGTGCACAGGTGTATGTGGAGGTCAGGTGAAACACTGTGGGCCACTGCAGGGCAGGCGGGGGGAGCAGACTCTGGATGACAGCCGGGTTAACACAGGTCAAAAACTGACATGTTTGCTTGTTACTTCACTTAAATGGTTGATCAATTAGCAGAGCCTGTACCATGGATGGATTAATGAACTGTTGTACTGGACACAGGCCCGGGGGGCCCAAGGGGTCAGGGGTCAGGGGACAGTGAAAGACCAGAGAACAGCGAAAGTCAATCAAACAAAGAGCCACAAAATGAGAAAAAGTAGATGCAAAACAACCACAAAACTATAACTATAATAAAATGAGAGAGGGAAGACTCCAAAAACCGCAGAACAACTGCAAATAGAGGCATACAACAACTACAGAGATGCAACAGAATAACCCCCAAATTAATCCATCATTTTCAAGAAACACTGAAGAGGAATAAAACTTTAAACCCCAAACTCCCACTTCATCCATACCCCCAGCATTTTCATTAGAGAAAGTACTGCAGTTCAGTTCCTACATAAAGTATGGCCAAAAGCACTTTTTCTTTAATGTATTTGGAGAAAGGCTGAGAGGGCGGACATCCTGGGGAGAGCACCAGATTAAAATGGGAGCAGTCCTGTGATAGTGACAGTGTTAAAGTGGTGGGTGCTCTTCCTGTTCACAGCTCTGGAGTACCGTAAAAGAGAGCTGCTCTTGAAGACCTGCACTCATGTGCCTCATTGACTCTCACCTCCAATGCAGTCATAAAACTCACTTCCACTGGGTAAATCACCGAGTCCCAGGGTGCAGAACTAAATGAATGCCTCTTTTACAGGAGAGCACCAGTGTGTCAACTTCAGGAAACTGGAAACAGGAAATTGTTTGGAAAGTCATTAAACAAGATGTCAGAGTGCTAACGAGCATCTACACGAGTCATCACATTAAAAAGACCCATAAACCCAAAGAAACATGAATAAACAGATGCAGCTTAATAATACAGAACCGCCAGCATCCCACAAAGATGGCATTTATTATCTTGTGAGAATAAAGTGTGAATTTATGGGAGCAGGAGCTGTTTATAAAGGGAAATCAAAGAACATACAGATGTTGTTCCAAAGAGACCACCTGGTTCAACCATGTATGAGTCCAATAACAATAACGTCTTTCCACAGAACACGAGCTTATCTGTTTGGAAGTTATTAAAAAGAGCCAGAAATGGGATCAAACACAGACTCTCCTCCAGCTCAGTGAAAACTAAATGCTGTGACTCAGTCGTGATGTAAAAAGTGAAGGCACAAACACAAACAGCAGATGTACCAGAGTTCATTCAGTCATTCTACAGCAGAAACCAAAAGCAGGACGTTTCATGACGTAGGAGATCAGGCACTTCAAAGATTGTGTCATAATACTGACAGGAGCTTTTCTCACCAACTTAATATCCTTATACATATACTGATATTCAGCAATCAGTCTCATAGATAAAGACCATCATGTTCATCTTTTTTTTCTCATCATGCAAATAAGTACAGCTCTCTCACTGGTAATACAGGCTCATGTGCATGTATGTCTTTCCATCATGTTGTGTGGACACAGTCACATTAAAGCTACAGTACGCCCAACTAAACCAGCCTTTAACCTGCATCTGACCGCCTTCCCACTGTCAACCTACTCGGCTCGGCTCTCCAGCAGATGAGCTTGTTTCCCCTTTGGTACATTATATTTGACGTCATCACGTGGGTGATGTCAAAAACATGCACTGATAAACAGAGTTGTAAACAAAGCATCATGGAAGCTAGCAAGATGGTCATCCAGACGGTGTAACAGTTTCTTCCCTCAGGCCATCAGAGAAATGAATAGACTGCATAAGCTGCCCTCCATTCCTTTGGTTAGCACCATGGCTTGAAGGAGATGAACAAATGCACATTCACTTATTCTAATTGCCTAACACTGCAATCAGTGTTTTTAGACCTGCACTTATCCATGCTGCTTTGGACTTGGAATTTGTTGCGTGTTTTTAATCAGTCATTGTGCTTTTAGGATTGTTTTGCTGTGTTTGTCACTGTATTTCTAATGTGTGGATTGTTTTGCTTTGTTTTAAAAGGGTGACTGTTATAGAATGTGAATGATGTGTATTGAGCATTATGATGAAGGGTATCTCACTTCCATATATACTGAAAATGTACGATGAAAGTGTGAATAAATTATTGAACTTCATTTTTACTATTGTTCATATTCCAAAGTACAGAAACTCGGTGTAGACTAAACCATGCTAGAGCAATGATTGAATGAAGATTGGCGGATTTTATGGCTCAGACGACACTATGACGCAGTGATGATGACGCATGCGTCATTATGTTCACAGGTTTAGCCAACTTTGGCTTTCCCATTGTTTCCCAGCAGAGACAAAGTGCATAATGACCCGTGTCGATTGAAGAGTCATTTGTCCCAGTAGTTGCATTCCCATTGCAAGTTTACAGGGGTTCTGGGCAGTGGGAAAGGGGCTTCTGAGTGAACTGTGTTCTCAAAAGTACAAAACAGCCACTGTTGTTACTCTGCAGCCCCACTTCGACACTGTAGATCAGACCTGGGTGTTATTAATCCATTTTTAAACTCCCTGGTCCAATTAATAAATAGTTGGCATCAGATGGCTGAAGTGACGAGCGGACTGACACTCGCTGCACTAATAAGTGGCAAAAGACAATATATGTGGTACAGATGAGGACACAGCATCTGGCCCTTTCATGCCTCATTGAGTTGATGGAATACTAATAAAAGCCAGCATACTAAGTGTGCAATTAATATTCTAAAATATTCCTGCACTGCATGTGGCGGAGACCTGTTCGAGGCCCCCTCGCTGGCAAAGTGACGGCGCTGTCTCTCTGGCAGAGAGGAAATGTCCTTATTAACCTTTTCCCTGAGCTCTGCTGGATGCTCCGAGCACACAGGGCCGCCGTTTGTTGTCCTGTCGCCTGACAGCAGATAAATTATCTCTTCTGGAGCCTTTTCTCCTCTGAGCTGAATGACCAGGAGGAGCTCACTGACTGATGTGTAGATGACCCAGCGTGGTGAAGTGTCCCCCTACATGTAATCGAAAATTTGTTTTTTAAAGCATCAGATAAAGGTCGGGACAATGGGTGGACACCACAATGAAAAAGCCTAATTTTCTACACGTTCTTCAAGTGGTGATTGGTGAAAGTGAACCCCCGTGTGTTTTTGTGTTCAGTTTCAATGTGGAAGCAGCATGAGGTTATGGAGGACCTGTGCTGGCCAAACATGAATGAATGATTCGTTTTACAGACAACATATTTCAGTGGCAGTGACACCAGTGTTACTAAACTTTGTTATGGCTCTGTCCAGACTCTCATGGCATTTGGTTATGCCTACAGAAAGACGGTGGGCTCACGGTGACTTCAGCCGCACTGTGTTTGTTTACATTTAACCAGTGCCACCACATTTCCCTAACCGACATTTCTGTGTTGCCAAAGAGGGAGCTCAGTCTCCGGAGTCACAGTCCTGAGCATTTAATGCCCTGACCAGTGGTGGACATGTACTCCTTTAGCCTGGTGTCAGTATAGATTTGTCCTACTTACCTTGTTCTCACTGAGTCCGGTGTTATCATCGTCACTGAGGGCGGCTGTGGCTCAGGAGTTAAGGTAAGACTTTATTGATCCCACAATGGGGAAATTAAGGCAGGTCATCCAATAAACGGAGGGTTGGTGGTTCATTCTGAGCTTGCCCATGCCATGTCTGAGGGCAGGACAGGAAACCCCCAGTTCACCGCTAATGGTCAGACCAGCGCCTTGTGTGGTGGCTTGCTGCCATCAGTGTCTGAGTGGGTAAACAAGAAGCAAAAGTGTTATAGTCAAAAGCAGCCATTTGGAAATGCTGGACAACAGTTTGAACACAAGCAGTAAGTTTCTGTTAAAAACCTTTTACAGACAGAAACATTAAAGGATGACAACATTTGACGATGACTTTGCTGTATTGTTGCACAAAACCAGTCTCTGAAGGCCCCCTCACATTAAGCACTCAGACATTTATTATACAGTGTGCATCTGTCTCCTGGGTGTGCTCCTGCAGACAGAGAAGAGGCAGCAGAAGAAAGGCTCTCCGCTGTAGACGACTGTCAGCTCCTGAAATCCAGAACAGATTCACATCAGTCTGCTGTGAACAGCAGCCTTTGTCTGAGCTCACCCTACTGACGTGCTAGTTTAATGTTTCATTGTGCAAGCTGAGCTGAATCCACCTGAGGAGGCAGACTTTATTAGTGAAACACTCTGACTCTGCAACACATTAAAGTGTTAGAGAAATGAGTGTGTGCCGTGGAGCCTGAGGTCATTTTTACTATTGTACTTTATATTAACATGGGAAGTAAAAACCAACAATTATACCATAAAATTTCCTTAAAGTTTCCAGTGAAGATTAAGGTGGAATGTGCTTGGGGAAAGAAATCTGAAGAGCAAAAACAACCAAATCTGATGTTTATATGATCAAAATGTTGCTGCTTTCAGGAATAATTCAAAGTTCTGACAACATAAAGTTCATTAAACAATGTAAAAACTGTAACCTGAACTGCCAAATTAAGGGAGACTTTAGATATTAACCTCACAAAGGAATCGTTTGACTTTTTTAGAAATATGCTTATTTGCTTTCTGGCCAAGATCTAGATGAGAAAATGGACACAGCTGTCATGTCTGTAATCTAAATGTGAAGCTCCACCCAGCAGCGGATTAATTTAGCTTGGCACAAGGACTGAAAACAGACTTGAAAACTATGTTTTTATCACTAAGAACCAGCTGTTCTGAGGCCAGCGGAGCACTGCAGGGTCTCCCAGCAGGTCAACAGGACCACGATTCCTCCAAATAAAAAGCTTTAATTAGATGCTTTCATCTTCGGTTTGTGAAAGGCTCTGAGGCTCTGGTTCCAAAGACTTTGGTTTAAAAATCCATAAAAGATTTAAGGAAAGAGCAAAGATAAAAGACTGATTAAAACTGCAGATCTCTGCAAACAGCAGGCAGAAGAAGCTTCAGCTGCTTGTTTGGCTGCATTGTTTTAGTTTCTCTACAAACAGTTCATGCTGTCTGAATGAGACTGGGTGAAGTGCTGCTTAAATAAACCTTCAACTGAACTTTGTGACCAGGTCCCGACATATCGTTCACGGGTGGCAAAACTCCACATTCTTTATTTAAAAAAAAAAAAAGCTTTCAAAAGTGTTCGTCTGCGTGTTGGCCCTGCAGCGGACTGGCAACCTGTCCAGGGTGTACCCCGCCTTCGCCCGATTACTGGCTGGGATTGGCTCCAGTTCGTTTGGGACTAAGCGGCATAGTAGATGAATGAAATGAATGCTTTCAAAAATATTAAATGAAACATGACAACAACTAACAGGTTGAACATGTTACCAGGTTAAACGCAGTCGATAACTAAGCTTCATCTAAACTGACTAACAAACACTTGCTTTAAATGTTAAGCAACCAGACATGGAGGATGTTTCAGGACCCACCGAACGACATTAGTTAGGTTTCCATCCACAGCAACCAGACATGGAGGATGTTTCAGGGCCCACCGAATGACATTAGTTAGGTTTCCATCCACAGTAGTCTGGTGCAAATGTGATTTGAATATCAAGAAAATTTACTGAAACATTATAAACAACATCTTTCCCATTATATGCCTCCACCAACCAGTCACATTCACAGTAATGGTCACTGGGATCCTGACCTTTGTTGACCAAAACCTAATTAGTTCACCCTCAAGTCCAAGTGGATGTTTGTGCCAAATTTGAAGGTATTTCCTCCAGGTGTCTCTGAGATGGGCGGACAGACAACCTGAAAACATAAAGCACAAGACATGAAAAACACAGGGAGAACCAGCAGTTACAACACCGAATCCCTGGGAGTGACTGATTGTCCAGTGCAAGAAACAATCCTGAAACCAGTCATGATGAAGGACAGCTTTATCAGCATGAGTAAAAGTTACAGCTGTACCTTGGTGCTTCAAATAGCATCAAATGTAGTGATTTTTACCCCAGTAACTTAATCATTAAGTGAGAAATTTAGGCAGCGTTAAATGTGTAAGTAATGAGGCTCTGTTTTTTGGCAAAGAAAGGCAAAATATTCTGATGTTTTTGTCTGCTTTGCCGGCTGTTCTGCTGATGTTGATGATATTCTCTGCTAAGCTGCTTCACCCTCTCAACACCTGTGTGTGGCCTTTGGAAGCAAAAAGCAGGTCACTTTGAAAGATACAGGTTCTTCCTGTCCACTGCAGACGCGCCAGGAAAAAGCAATTTGCATTTCAACACGGGGAGCAGTGCGAGAGGAGTGGTGCTGCTGCTGAGCTCCCTGAAGGGCGGAACAGAACCCTCCTGTCACGTCTGACACCTCTTTAATAGAACAGCATGTCCATGCTGCAGCCTAGATTTATAATCCTGTACTGGTACACACCTTTGATTTATGACATTTCATTGTTTATTTTCTGTTTGTTTGCCTGAACATGGGGTCATTTCATTTCTACTCAGTGGTTGGTCAGAATCTAGCTCCTGAATAAAACAGCTCTGTAAAATTTTAACTTAAATTTGACCAAAGCATAACACGAAGGAAGGGTTTCAACTCCTCCAGCCTATACGACCCGCACATGTCGTTTGACCCTTCCCTCTCATTGGACCCATAGGAGCATCACCTGAAAAAGTCCACCATCACCTCCGCTGTTCGGACTGTGTTCAGCTCCAGGCGGTTGTCTTTCCGACCATAATGTCGACACAGCTATATGCATTAGCAAAAATCAGAGAAAAGGTGTACGGAGTGAGTTGTCTGATGTTTAGTAGCTCTTCTCTGGTAAAGGTCTGGACGGGTTGCCGAAGGCCAAGAAAACGAGGTAAAACAACAAGGCAGACATTTGTTGTGCCATCTTGAGTATGCCATAAATATGCAATTAAGACTATGAAACCATATATTCTGCTGGCACAAACAACCTATTGAGTCGTCCTTTACAGGAGGGCAGTCTCTTTCACTGCCACTGATCTAACATAAGTGTTGACATGCTATCTGTACACGTTACAGCCTTCAAGGTCACTAACTTTACCTTTCTAAAAGCACAGAGGTCATCTCGTTAGCACGGTGCACAGAGCCCGGTCACCACAGTGTTAGGCTTATCGTAGGAGCTAGCACCCCGCTAGCTAGCAGCAGTTAGCATTTGCTCCTCTCCTCCGTGCCGGAGGTCACTACAGTATATACACAGTATACTGTCGTGTAGTTGCTGGGATGAGTGTTTTGTTGTCTTTGCCGATTTGTAGATTCAAACATTGCGCCATTTCTAGGGTCGTTAAATATGGTTATGTGTGTGTCATGTGAGTAGTCGTCACTGTTGGTATGGGGCGGAGCTTAGGGGATTAAAGGTGAGCAAGGTTCTATAAACAAGCACGAAGAAGATTGTAGGTAGTGCAAGAATCTGTGGGCTCACTAGCGCCCTCTGCCTTGAGGCAAACGTACTGTTTGCCTCACCGAGTAACTTTTTTACTGGGTTTTATGGTTAATCTGCGAGCCTAAACACGTTACAGAACTACATTTTATACATTATCCAGATTATGGCAAGGCAGAGCATATAATCAGAGTGTTTGAAAGCATTTTATTTGCGATATATAGAGGGACAGCGACACACTATTTGCATCACATACAGTTTGTGAGGATTACACGATCCACCGAGAGGCACAGCAAAGTGCTGACTCATCGCGCATCTCCTCCATGTATTTGAACGGGACATACGGAAATTATGCTACTCTTTATTGAAAAAAAATTCCTTCAACATCGGATTCGAACGGCAAAAGGGCCTACAACACACACCAGCCGACAAATATTAACATTTATTATATTTTATGGTTAACTTTTTTTTCAAGATTTTAGGGGAGGCTCTGCCTCACCTGCCTCCCCTGCCTCCCCTGACCGCACGTCACTGGTTAAACTAAACCAGCTGTGAGCCTGGCTACAGACTGTTTTGTGTGACCATTAGACTTCCGAAGGACATCTTAACATCACTTATTTCCTGTGCGGGTTCGTCCAGCAGAAGGCATTTATAAAAATGTTTAATGACATTGCCATCTGAACCAGAGGAGGGACTAGTGATGGATGGCTTGGAGCGCAGCAGGAGTGGTGGAGATCCTGGACATGAGGCTTTGATCGATGTGTCCCTGCTCACAGACAGGCAGGAGATGTAGCGGCTGCCACGTCCAGACCCCATTGTTTAATTCAGCACATCATTTGCATGCAGGCCGAGGTTAATGAGACAGAGATAACCCATTAAATGATCAATTCATCACTCTGAAATGCTAAAATCACATACACAGACAAACCTGGGGGTGCAGCCACTTACAAGCACATTTCCAAACAAACGCTCCAAAGTTTATGATAAAATCCTTCAGGAGCTGTTCTGTCTTTTTTGTTCCCTGTACTTTTCTCCTTGTGTAATTTGTCTGCTTTATCTGAAACGAAGGACTGAGCCGGCTTTTGGGTACATGTTTAGATAGTGCAGACATCCATTATCAGTCTGATGCAAACCCGATTTACAACCTCAGTAAAAGAATTAGTGAAGAGGGGAGGAGAGTGCTGTGATTCTGTCACCTCCTCTGCCTCTCCTGCATCGTCGCTGCCCTTTGATCGAGCTGCTAATCAATTAAAACCTGTGTGCTGCAAGATCGTTTCAGCCAGGTGCATAAATGAGGCAGTCGGATTTCTCAGATGCTGAGAGGTGGCTCAACAGACTCAACACAACTTGCACTGAACTCTTACAAACTGAAAAGCCATGGTCTTTCATGAGTCATGTGCAGGTCCAGTTTTGGTCTATAACACTGTGAGGTCTAGACCTGACTATGTAAAATGCCCTGAGGTGATTGTTGTTGTGAATGTGTGCCTTATAAATAAAACTGAATTGAATTAATTTGCTCACATTCAATAACTTTTACTTTCATAGCTTTTACTGAGTCTGTGGCAGGTGTTTTAAAACATTGTTTTATATGTTTTGTGCTGCTGCTCTGCGGTAAATGTTTCTGAGCAGCATGTGAGCACAGACACAGTGAACAGTTTCACAGAAGCACTAGATGGCCTTTGAGGATCCTTTTGTCAGTAAATGCACACTTGGTTTGGTGTTGACGTCTCTCTCCTCACAGCAGATAACGTCCTACAGCTGTTGTGTTGCTGCACGTTTGATCAGTAAAATCTGGACTTTTTGTTTGCCTTTCACACTTCAGCTGTAGCGGGACATTTAAGGAGGTCTGTGACGTGTTGGGACTGAGAATGCCCCAGAGACTGAGCAGCCATTTCCACAGTTATTTAATAACTAAACCCCTGCAAATCAAAGCAAGGGATGTGTTGCGTCAGTGACTGAATCAAGCTCAGATTAAAGCCAAACAGTGGTCCACCTTGGGCTTTATTCTTCGAAGAGATTAGAGAGAGGCTGAACCTAAACTCAGATTTCTCCTCCAGGTATAGAGTAAATTAATGTAATTAGGACCTTTATTCCTGTTCAGGCCTCTTATCAAAGCTTTTTCCTTATCGCTTCTAGAAATTTAATTAGAAAATCTTTCTAATTAATGACTTTGCAGAATTAAAGTTAACTTGAACCAGTTGATTCCCCTGATAATTGTTGACCAGAAGCATTTAAATAAAAGAGCCGGACAGTTTGTATAACACTGTCTTTTCAGCCGAGTGAGACTCAAAACTAACTGACTCCATTATCTGCCCCTGCCTTCATGTCCTGTTTCCTAGTGACAACATAAACTACAGATGCCTGGTTGGGACAACAGCCTCCAGTCTGACACTAGCGTTAGCTGAGTAACAGTAGATGTGCCAGCCCAGTTGAACCTTCTGATTACTGCTGATGTGACAGAAAACTTGAATAGAGAGCTGAAGTCCGTTTAGCCTCTGCTCCACTAGCTTCATCGACCACGATAAGAAAACTAAACACGCTATCCAGGGATTTTTCCCCCATCATATTCTAAGACAAACTACCAACCACTACAAGACTTATTACTGAAAGTTGCAGCCTTCATTGCAACTTTCATTGTTGATACATTAATGTAAACATTTTTTTTTCTTTTGATAGATGAGTAGACCTACATTTAGCTGGTACTTTCACTTAATATATGAATGCATAAATATTAAAGCAGGACTCTGAAAATATTTTCCTGATATCACTAGAAAAAGTATTACTTTAGATGACAGATTTGAGGATTACTGTCACACTGTAGCCTGACACTACCACATCAGACATGTCATGGGGCATTTAGTTTCACCTTTACCTGCCACTCACCTCTCTCCTCTGTCTTTTTACACACTTTTTAATAATGCCAACAGACTCTCAGGCCAAACACACATTCATAAATCACAAGTGTTTGTGTGCTGAAGTGCTCTGCAGACTGCTGTAGGGTGTCGGGCGTTGCGGCTCAGGGGAGGGAACAGAGAGGTAACCGTGGTGCAGAAAGAGCAAACAGAAAGCCTGACACCTCTGTCACAGTACAGGAACCAGGATCCCCCTGGTCATGGAAAAGCTAACTGGAAATTAGTAAAAAAGTGGGATATGGAAACAAAATAATCGCACGTGTAAGTAAAGAATTACTGCACCGATTACTGCAATTGTTGAGCAATCTGGAGAGAAGTTTTATGCTGCAGTGGCTTCACTGAGTGAGAAACAGGGGAACAGTCTGTCACTTTACACAAGGTCTGAGCCATGCAGCCCTTGATCAGCTGAGGGTCCGATGCACCTCCTGCTTTGTCTGATTGTCTCTAGGGAACCCCAAGCATATCACCTGCATCATGACTCAGAAAAACACCTCTCAAAATACAGTTCCCCGACTGGTTGTCAAGATCGTAGGCAGCAAACAAGCCAAGCAGTTTATTGAGGAGCCACTAGAGTGAGTACTACACGAATTTTCATCTTCTCCCTCTTATTTTTATTATTATGACAAGCAGACGCCTTGATTTGGCTGTTGACTAATGACATAAACCTCAGTGGGAGTTTTTCTGTCATAGTTTCTAAAAACACAACTGATTCAAAATACAGGAGATTGAGCAGTGAACAGTGATGACCTTGAACATTTCTCGTTTTGATTATAGTAAAGCTTTTTATACTTTTCCACTTAAATGACTTAATTCCTCGTGTAGATATCAGCGAATCATTATTATTGGTCACTGAGGGTTTAAATGTAATTATGGGCTTTATAAATGGAGTTCACTTGATTTGGCTTAATCTGTGTTTTTCAAAGGATGCGGCTCTTGTGTCAAACCCGCAGCAGATATGTAACATCTTTTTTCTTGATGTGTTGATCCTGAGCAGAGATACGCACTACGTGTCGATGATAAAAGCAGAAAATGCTCCTGTTGAAGCTGCAGATGATCTTTTCAAGAAGGTTCCAGAAAAGCACAATGTCATGGCGTCCACGTCTCCCACAGAGGTGCAGAGCGGAGTCTTCACTTTGGGCTGTGATCAACCAGGTATAGTGTGTGATACCTTACTGATATTGAATATAAATTCAAATGTATTACTATTGTAGATTAAAATAAGACTTTATTCAATTCACAAGCTACCCAGCAGTATGACTTGCCTATTTTTCATAATAAATGCTTTTACTTTTCATGCGCTGTACTTAGTATATTTTGATGCTGATACTTTGGCTTGAGTAGAGTTTTGAATGTGTTGCTTTGACTTATAAGACAGTACTTCATGAATGAATTATTGGTCATGAAGGAATAAGTGTGCGAAACCAACTTTTTATGCCAGAGAAGTAGAGCTGTTATTTCTTCATTTAAATCAAGGCAACACTCCTCTCTAAAACAAAGAAGAAAGAGATTCCACACACATTTTGATTACTCCTTTTTTAAAGGAGAATGGACAAAACAGAGCTTCAATCAAAGTGATAACGCATAAATGAAACGTCTCTTTGATTCACCCCTGCAATACAAACTCAAGTTCCCCTAAATATCTTGATCTAATCCTACAGATTTCCTTTGATTTACAAGATTAGGGGGTAGGCAACTTAAATAAACCTTAAATAAAGATATTAAAACTTTACTGAGGAACACAGGCAGCTTCACTTCAGTCTGTTAAGTATTCATTTCAATTAAAGTTTCCAATTAAAGGGGTCTTCATCTTAATCATATGAAAGGCTTTAAGATATAAAATAATGTGGTTGTTTCCTAATTGGTACAATGACATGACCTGACACTCTGTTTTCACAGAGAGGTGTGTCTGAGGACGGAGATAAGGCCGAGCTCTCCTCGGCTGTCAGGGAGGAGCTGTCTGATTGGCAGCTCTCCTCCCTGACACCAAGAGAGGACGACGTGGCAGCTCTCGATCCCTCCTTCACTGGGAAACTGAGTCGATCTCAGGTCACTCAGCTGTTTCTGAAAAATGACGTTCCACTCAAACTACCAAGATTTTCTCTCTTTCTCTAAATGTTTTCAGATAAAGATGATTCAGACCAGGTAAGGCAGTGCTGTAGACCCAATACGTGCACAAATTTGTTACAATATTTTAATCAGTACTGACCTAGGAAATCTTATTTTTAGCTCCAAAACTGGAAGTGTCAGACATTGATCAAGAGAATATCTTGACAGCCACCAGACAGACTGATTCAAAGTACCCAGCATCACAGCAGGTCACAATGTCTTCTTGTATCACAGCACAGTTTATGACGTTAAAAATTAAACTAAGGGTAGTGGTGACAGCGGTGCAGTGGGTAGAGCAGTCGTCTGCCAACTGGAAGGTTGAAGGTTTGAATCTCAGTGCCTGGTGTTGAAGTCTCCTTGGGCAAGACACTGAACCCCCAAGTTGCCCGTGATGGTGGCGTGTATGCACACAGCGTGCATTTTATTGTCATGTTACAATGACAATAAAATAAAGCTTCTTCTAAAGGAAGGTCATCAGTTCAATCCTTGGACTGGCAGGATTAAATCTGCACCCCCTCACTGACACTGGGGGTGCCTTTGAGCACCATAAACAGTTAAATGATGTATCACTTCATTGTCTTGACCCTTGTGGGTCATCTGAAGTAAATACAAGAAAACTACCCAAAATAATGACATTCAATAAAATGATGCAATGTCTCCCATTTGTCTTTCAGTTGGAAAAAAGAAAAGTTGCTACAGATTCATTACAGAGATCTCCTGCAGCTCATAAAACGCTCTGCAGTTTCTGAGGGACTCCACATTGACAGTGAGGTACATCCATGTGCAGTATAAACTAACATATCAGCTTCTGTGGCTGTTCTGTGTAAATGAAACCAAGATGTAACTTGTCCTTTCTCCTCTCTGCAGCTTCAGTGTAGCTGAACTGTGGACTAAGCTTAATCACAACTACCGCATCATGAACCATCTAGAAGAATAAATAAGGAAAGAAACTCAGCTGAACTCATCTGGCCACTGTAGGGCAGCACCTCAAACGACTGTAATTCATTATAATGTTGTAGTGATAGAGATTATTCTGTACACCTGACACCACTGAGATACAGCTGAAAGTTTCACAACTGTTCAAAGGCCTGTAATACAAATCACAATGATTTACCTCGTTTGCAGTGGGAGGGATCAAGGCATCTTTTTATCATGGCCTATGGGAAAAGAATTTTTAAGGCTGCTAGCCACTACAGCAGCCTCTGTGTTGACTGGAATCTGGAAGGCACGTCTTTTATTACTGCCAAAATAAACCTTTTCTCTGATAAAACTCATCTGACATATGGTCTGAATGAAAAGAATAAAATTAATTTCAATCTCATTATCAAACCGGGACGATGTGTATCCTGGTGTAGCCAGTGTCCATTAGGCCTGTGACACACCATGGCGACGGTCGGCGCGCACCTTTCCATTGTTCCCCGCAATCTTGGCACCAATCGGACCCTGTCAGCAGCCTTTCGACCAATTTGGCATTTTGAATCGGGTCTTGTCGCCCAGAGAGGCCACTGACTGGCTGTTCAGCTTAGCGAATCAGTGCACGAGAAGAGAACGGTTCAGGAAAGGTTCAAGGATTTTATTGTCAATTCACTATATGTGCAGGACATACAGGAAATCGAGATACCGTTTCTCTCTCACCTAGTATTGGGTGCCATAACATTTAGGAGCTAAAATAGAATAAAAATAGAATAAGAACTGGATTGACGTAATTAGGATAAATCTAAATGGTACAGCCAATAAGCTGTAAGCCCCTTCGGCACCTTAGTACCCATGATTTGACCAATTTAGTGCGGTTTCTCCTTGTTTTTCGCCTCGACAAGCAAAAGCCCAAGGACAGAGAACGGCAGTGTCATTTGCAGCTGCTTATCAGACATATTTTCGAATAGAAACAGCTATGAACAGCAACTGTTTTGAATGAGAGGTGCTTTGTTTATAAGCTTAAACTTCCGCATTCCACCTCTTCTTCTTTCCCTTTCTGATTTGCGAATATAGATGCCGCCACCTGCTGGTAATGGGGTATTTCTTCCACGCATGGCGCAGATCGTACGTGCTAGTCGGCCGTTGGCTGTGGCCTGTGCAGTGTGTTTAAGTGTGACTTTTCCAGTCTGACTGGCCCAGTCGGTATGTCTCTGCCCTTACACTTCATCGTCATGTGGTTTGTCCTGGAACTTAATCATTCTTGTGTGCAAAACCAGGTGGTATCCAGGGTGAATACCAGTGCACACAAAAACACTGAAGAGATCCAGTAGCATGACACAACAAAGTTGTTTGCTTTTTTCTTTATTTTTTGGTGCTTTTTTTATATTTTATATTTTTTCCCTTTTTTCTTGCTCTCCCTGCTTTTGGCACTACATACATACGGTTACATGTTAGATTGTTTTTAAAACAATTATCTATTCAAAGCCTTCATCTTGTTGCAAGCAAAGTATGAATACAGCTAATAAAAATAAAGGTTTACATTTTTCATCCTTGCTTTACACATAAAATAAAAACACTTTTTTGAACCCCCTCAAAAATGGGGCTATTAAAATATTTGACATTTGTATCACAAATCAATGTAATGTGACAAAAAATAAAACATAAAAACTGTACAAAAATGATAAAATTCATTTAAATTTTTTGTTGTGACCAAATAACGCAAAGAGTACATAATTCTCTTTTGTTATGTTACTGACCATAAACCTAATTAAAAAGAGATGAATGCTCACTTCTTCTGTTTGATGAAATTCAGATTGACTTGATGTTGGACATGTGGGACCAGTGGGAAGTTTGGATTCGGATGAACCACAGAGCCTGATGAAAGAAGAGAGAACAGAACTCAAAGTCTGAAGAAACAGGGAACTTGTTATCTGTTTTTCTCAGCTGTATAAAGTGCAGTATCATTGTGACCTTGGGCCATGAAGGGTTTGGCAGGCTGGTAGCCTCCATTGCTCTGCTGGATGAAGTTCTGGGGCATCCGATAAGGCCAAGATGGAGACAGGGTGTACTGGGGGGGGTTACTGTGCTCCCATAACCGAGAGCCTTGGCTCACACCTACAAACTGGGCTGGGTGAGCAGAGTCTGTGGAGACAAAAAACAAAACTTGTTTAGTGACCTCATGTAAAAGGGGCTGATAAAAAGTCATAATGAAAGTTTCGCAATATTCCAGTGTGGGTAAAACATTCTCTTCACCTGTGGTTTAATCGAGTGGTACCCACATCCAAAACAGCTGGTGCAGCTTATTTAACCATTACAGTGATCATGTTTTAGGTTAGGGTTAACACCAAATTTTAGCTTTATATATTCCAATTGTTTAGGTACGCTTGTGTAATCTATTTAAACTGATGATATATGTCGTCAGGCTGCCATATGAATTTGTTGACAAACGAGACAGGCAGCACACTTGGATTTCTGCTGGAACAATGCTCTTAAAGGTAGTTTTTTCTTGTGAGACGTGGTAATAGCTGAGTTTACCAAACAGGTTAACTGTCTCCTGTCAATTAACCACAGCACATGTTGTTACACTAGTAAGACTGTTCTACTGATTTCTTTTTGAATTGTTACATTTTCTCTGGAAAAGGACAAAGAACTAAAGCTACAATGAGCACAACAGACTGAGACCAGAATCATTTGATAGTATGATAAAAACGACTGCATGTTTTGCTAACTCAGAGTTTTAAGTTGCTCTTTAAAGATGCAGAAGCAGGAAGAGAGAGAATCACACACAGACAATGCCACCAAGTCCACCCAGTGAATACCTGACTTCACCACCGTGCCATTGCCCATGATTGACCCAGGCTGTGCCATGTGGTTGTGCCAGTGTCCCTCCCGTCCAGGCCCGCCAATGCCCAGCTGTCTCCCCGCTGGCTGGGCGAAGATGATGCTGGGGTCACTCAGGTTCATGGGGCTGGAGTTGCCCCCTGAGCCTGTGGGACTGCCATTCCCTGATGCCAAACGCAGGGTGAATTTTGGGCCCGGCGGGGAGGGGGCGGTGGGAGAGGACGTAGTGAGGACAGGTCCATGGATGGGCCAGGAAGTGGAAGGGATGTGGACTGGGTGATGAGGC